AAAAGATACTTGCAATGAATAACTCATTGGTTTTGCAAAATTGTTATCATGCAATCTCCAGCATTATTTCTGTCACCAAGGCCATGTTTTCCAACTACTGACCCCCTCCTCTTTGTTTCCAACCTTCTAATTCCAGTCAGCAGTATAATCAATACATCTTGATTGTATGTTTGATCAATTTCAGATGAAGAATTTGGTAGAATTCTTCCATTTCATCATCACTGGCTTTAGTGCTTGGCGCATAAATTTGGTCCTGTAGGCATGTGACTATTATCCTATCATAGACAGTGTTGTACTTCAAGATATTGAAATGTTCTTTTTGCCAATTAATGTGATGCCATTCTTCTTCAAGTTATCATTGATTTTCGCCTGCAAAATGATACCTGTCTATTTCTGCTCACTAATAAGTAAAATATCAATCTTTATTCATTCTATTTCATTTTTTTACAACTCCCAATTTTCCTAGATTCATACTTCTTACATTCCTTGTTCTGATCGATGGATGTTTACAATGATTTCTCCTCATTCTGAGTTGTGTCCCTCCAGAAAATGAAGGTTCCAAAAGGATTATTCCATTCACATCATCGCTGTCAACTCTACTTTGAGGAGGCAACTCTTCTCTCTTCCAACCTGAGGGGCTCATCTTCCAGTCCTATATCTGGCAATATTTGGAGCTATTCATAATGTTTTCATCTATCAGGACTGTATCTGACAACATTCCACTGCTGTTCATAAGGTTTTCAGTGGCTGAACATTCAAAAGTAGCCTGCCTCTCCTTCCTAGTCTATTTTCGTCTGGAAGCTCTGCTGAAACCTGCCCACCATGGCTGGCCTTGCTAGTATTTAAAATACCAGTGGCATAGCTTCCAGCATAACAGCAATAGGCAAGCTACTACAGTGCAGCAAACTGTCAGACCAATGGTTAATATGAGGCAGTTGAAAACACCATGGCTAGGGTCAGGAGTACCTTAGTCCTCAAGGTGATATCATTGTGCTTTAACATTTTGCAGCAGATTTGCCTAATTCAATACATTGTTTGATTTCTTCACTGCACAAGTCAAGAAATCAAACTTGCTAGATAAGTTGTTGTTAAGTGCTGTTGAATTGGTTCCAACTCTCAGCAACCCTGCTGTATAAAGTTTTCAAGGAGTGGCTGGTGAGTTTGAACTGCCAAACTTGCAGTTCATACCAACCTTAGGGTCCAGTGCGTATCCTCTAGTGCCACACTACTGAGTTGATAAATTGCTTCATAAATGATCATTTGTTAGTTGTAATAAGAATGCCACTTATTATAAGTTATAATCGTTTCTAGTGCATCTTTTCCTTAGAGATTTTAGGAAAGAGTGTAAATATACTCAAGAAATTTTGGAATTGTATGTTCTGTATTGATCACAAGATTTTTATGCCTTATTATGATGGAAACTCAACTGTATTGGATAATAGTTTGGCCTACAAATTTGATCATCTATAATATAAGAATTAAAGACACCAAGATCTTTATTTAATCATTTATACAGAAATTTGAGAGTGATACAGTAAATCTTCCTTTAGCTACAAAAATTCAATTTGAACCGTTTTGGGTTTTTTTTGAAGCGCCTCTTGTTAAAGGAGCTCTGATAGCTTAGTGGTTTAGTGGTTACAAGTCGGGCTGCTCATCTCACAGTCAGCAGTTTGAAACTACCAGTGTTTCCGTGGGAGAAAGATGAGGCTTTCTGCTCCCATAAGGATTTACAGCCTCGGCGACCCTATATAGGGTTGTTTTGAGTTGGAACCAACTCCATGGCACATAACCATTGTTGTTAAAAGCCGCTGAGTCAGTTCTGACTCAAAGAACCCTGTGTAGGGTTTCCAGGGAGCAGCTGATGGGTTTGAACTGCTAACCTTGTGGTTTGCAGTCCATTCCTGTTCCTACATTGCCAGGAGTCCTTGAAGTACGTTATAGATTGGATACCCCCTAGACTGCAAGGTCAGTTTGAAGCACGAGGTCGGGGTTCAAACTCACTAGCCATTCCTTGGAAGCTATAAACAGGGTTGCTATGAGTTGGAACTGACTTGATAGCACTTAATAACAACAGTATGTATTAGGGGAGCATGGTGGCTCCATAGGATAAGCACTGAACTCCACTGGACAAAGGTAAGGCTGTCTGCCCTTGAAAAGATTTAAGCCTTCATAAACCCTATACTGGCTTGCTATGACTTGGAACCGACTTGATGGCACTTAACAACAATAGCAACTGTTAGAATTTGTGTTTAAAAAGTGCCTTTGCCCTGATCACAGTGATAACAAATTTATTTTTGACACTTAGGAAGGACATACAAGCACAGTTCAAACTCTCCTATCTTTGGGGGCCGACATCAACTCTAAAGATGAAAGACATCGATCAGGTGAGACTTATTTTGCATATATCGTGGAAGCAATTAGTAAATTAAATGTAAGCAATACTTAGTCCTTTATATTAAAAACATCTGTTTTAATATTTTTCTTCTAATAGCTCAGAAACTTTTCCTAAGTTTCTAAAAAACATTCCCTCTGTTTCCAAAACTATAGAACTATTGCTACTCTTATAACATTAATGGTAATGACTACCCATTATTCCTACTGTTCTTACTATTTTTATTATTATTGTATACCAAAGTACAAAGGCAGTTCAAAAAAGGTTGTGGGAAAATTCCATGATCTTTTCATGAACTTTTTCAAGCCCCTCGCACTCATCAGCCACTAGCGGGAAAGAGATGAGGTTTAATGATAACAACAGAATACTTTATATGTAACATCAGAACATTTTCTATCTTAATTCATGATGACACCAGCTATCTCGGTATTATGTAGATTCACCATATGTTGTATCTCTTGGGAGTATATTTAGAAGCCAATATATAAGTTTGTAATTGAGGACCCAGAACTAATTATTTAGACATGGACTTTAGAATAAAACCACAAATGAGTACTGTGAGCCAGGGTCCTTTTGCAAGGGTTTCAGATGATCTTTATGATGCTTCAGAGACTCACAGAGAACTAGTTGTTCTAGAGTTGGGAAGAACAGCTGCTAAATCCAGGGATATTCTCAGCACACCAAAACCTTCAGCACTAATTTCTACAAGCAGATTGGGAAATTTTGGCTGCCACTTTTCTTTTAGTCACATCATTCTTATTCATGGTAATCATATTTTTACTCACACAAAAAATTCACAAAACTTTGAAAAAACTTTTTTCTGTGCCATTTACAGTGTGTTTTAATAATACACAGGAATAACACTAGTCTCATTTCCCCATTTTGCTTTGTCATTTTAGATGAGTATCTTAAAGTCTCTCTAAGTGGTTTTATTATCTTTAAAAATATTCTCAACCCAGGCAGGTTGAATGAAAAATAATATATTGATCTACGATAGGCAAAGCCATAGAGATGAACTGTGGAAATATAAAATCTGTATCACTGAAAGAACGAATATTTTAATATGAAGCAACCTAATCACGAGGTCCATCATGTGTGAGGTCTCCTGCACTAAATTCCTTTGGTTTTTGTCTTCTCTCAGCCCTGCACCTGGCCTGTGCAGGTCAGAACTTGCCTTGCGTTGTGTTTCTCCTGCAATCTGGACTGAAAGATTCCCCAGACATAACCGGCATCCTGGCTCAGCAGTTCGCAAAGAGAGCAGACATCCTTCGATGCTTTGACCAAACAGTAATGACATAAGAATGTTTCTAAAAGAAGGCAATAAACTGCATAGTAATTTATATCCTACCTCCTAAATATACAGTGTTATTCATTTCCTCCTTTAACCTTCCTTCTTCTCACATTCTTCTCCTGCAGTTGAGAATTTCCCAGATTCTTAGGGTACATCATGGAGGGACAGGGTGGGGAGCCAGGAGACTCAGTTCCTACCAGTGTGGCTGATACATTGTGAAATCCTGAGCATAAACATCGTCTTTCCATAATCTGTATTTCTGGTAGCATAGTGGATTAGGAGCAGAGCTGCTAACCAAAAGGTCAGCAGTTTGAATCTACCAGCTGTTCTGTGGGAGAAAGATGAGGCTTTCTGCTCCCGGAAACATTTACAGCCTTGAAAACCTTATATAGGGTCACTATGAGTCAGAACCAACTCCACAGCACATAACCACCACCACCAAAGTAAAAATAGGAAATAGATACAGTTTATAAAATCATTCTTTGGAATGCTTAGAAAAGCATGTAACATGAACAACATATAGTATATTTACTTTTCTATGTGTATGAAATTTCTTAAATAGTATATGGTTGTTCTTAAGTGCTGTTGAGTCAGTTCCGACTCACTGTGGTTAGCAGTGCATTGCTTATACTGCTGTGCCACATAATGTTGTTAAATGCCATTGAGTCAATTCCAACTAATAGCAACCTTGGACAGGATTTCTGAGGAACAACTGGTGGGCTTGAACTGCCACCCCTGTGGTTGAGTCACAGTCCAGTGCTGATCCTAAAGGGCCAAACCAGGACTCCACATGAGAATCAGATTTAAAATATAGCAAGTTACTATTAACATAAGCCATAAAAGACAACTGGTAGATTTAATTTTCCCAAGCTTTTTCTTGGCCATTATATGGTTTAACTTTGATTCCCCAGTGTGACAAATGGCTGTTGGTGGTCCATCTTCAGAATCAAGGAAATCTTGGGTGTAGCACGACAGAAAGGGAACTCTGAGAATAGGAAGGGACTAGTTTGACCTGCTAGATTCTTTTAAAATAAGAATACACCCATCAAAGAAGTAGGGGAAGTTCATGGGGAAGACAAGATTGTAAACTCTAAAGTACCCAGTAAAGGGGAAATGTTGGAGAGGCTTTTTCCAAGTTAGGTTCATAAAACTCTTTGTCAAATGGCCACACGTGCGTCAGTGCGCCTGCCCATGTTACGGGGCTGGACACCTGATTTTACAAAATCAAATAAAGAAAACCTCACTCTCACTAAAATGAGTACAGATTGGATTACTTCAGCATTTGTCAGTATAGACAACGTTTCTCACACCAGGAAGAAATGTTTATAATCTGTTTACACAGACATTTACAAGAAATTAATGAAAACTTTACTATATCCTAAGCACTACTTCTTAAGCTATAATGTTTTATTCAGTTTATAATGACTCTTTTCAGGTAATAAATATACCTGGAAAATAGAACTAAGATATTGTCAGAACATTTCCTTTGCCTGAGTTGAAGAATGGGGTTTTGTTCTTAAAGCCTGTGGTTACATTTATAGTCCCATTGTCTCGTTGATATCCCATACAAGTAAAGTTTTGCTCAAGGTAATACAGAAACAGCTACAATCATACATTGACAGAGAACTTCCAGAGGTTCAAGCCGGATTCAGAAGAGGCCCGGGAATGAGGGATATTACTGCTGATGTCTGATGGATCTTGGCTGAAAGCAGAGAATATCAGAAAGATGTTTACCTGTGCTTTATTGACTATGCAAAGGCTTTCGATTGTGTGGCTCATGACAAGCTGTGGACAACATTGTAAAGTATGAGTATTCTGGAACACTTAATTGTGCTGATGAGGAATCTGTACCTGGACCAAGAGGCAGTTGTTCGAACAACATGGGAACACTGAAAGTTTTTAAAATTAAGAAAGGTGTGCAACAAGGTTGTATTCTTTCACTATACTTATTCAACCTGTATGCTAAGCAAATAATCCAAGCAGCTGGGTTCTATGAAGAAAAATGTGGCATCAGGATTGGAGGAAGACTCATTAACAACTTGCGATATGCAGATGATACAACCTTGTTTGCTGAAAGTGAAGAGGACTTAAAAATATTTACTGATGAAGATCAAAGAGCACAGCCTTGGGTATGGATTACATCTCAATGTAAAGAAAACAAAAATCCTCACCACTGGACCAATAAACAATATTCTTATCAATGGAGAAAAGATTGAAGTTGTCAAGGGCTTCATTCTTCTTAGATCAACTATCAACACCCACGGAAGCAGCAGTCAAGGACTCAAACAACATATTGCATTAAGCAAATCTGCTGCACAAGACCTTTTTAAAGTGTTGAAGAGCAAAGATATCAGTTTGAGGACTAAGGTGCGCCTGACCCAAGCCATGGTGTTTTTAATAACCTCATATGCATGTGAAAGCCGGACGGTGAATAAGGAAGACCGTAGAAGAATTGATGCCTTTGAGTTATGGTGTTGGAGGAAAATATTGAAAATATTGCCATGGGCTGCCAAAAGAACCACTAGATCTGTTTGGAAGAAGTGCAGCCAGAGTGCTCCTTAGAGGCCAAAATGGCCAAACTTCGTCTCTCATACTTTGGACATATTGTCAGGAGGGACCAGTAACTGGAGAGGGATATCATGCTTGGTAAGGTGGAGGGTCAGAGAAAAGGAGGAAGACCACCAATGAGATGGATTGGGCAAGAGGCAGCAACAATGGACTCAAGCATGGCAACAGCAGTGAGGTTGGTCCAGGACCGGGCAGTGTTTGATTCTGCTGTGCATAAGGTCGCTATGAGTTGGTGCCGACTCAATGACATCAAACAACAACAACAACAGTCATGTTGAAGCCTATGATTGTTAAGAAATGAAACATTTGATTATAAATTCTTTAAAAATCGGTAGCAATTAAAACAGATTAGGCATAGAATGAGTCCTCTGGCATCTGGATTTCTGTTTCTTTTGGATTACTTGATTCTTTTTTTAAGATATTTTTCTTTGAGTTTTAAAGCATAATTATTAATCCAAGTCAGTCTTTTCAAATATTGTATGCACCCATCACAAGCAAAATTTGGTCCTCTTGCAAGTACCGATTCCACATCTACTTTATTCCCAGGGTTATGCACTTGTTGTTAGGTGTTGTTGAGTTGGCTCCAACTATTAGTGACCCTGTGTACAAGACTGTCTGGTCCTGCACCATTCACGCAATTATTGTCATGTTTGAGCCCATTTCTACAGCCACTGTGTGAATCATTCTTGAAGTTTCTTCCTCTTTTTTGTTCAACCTCCACTTTACTAAGTACAATGTCCTTCACCAGGAACTGGTCCATCCTTTCCAAAGTACAAGAGGTAAAATCTCACCATTGCCACTTCTAAGGAGCAATCTGGCCATTCTTCTAAAAAGATTTGTTTGTTATTCTGGCAGTCCATAGTGCTTTGAGTATTCTTTATCAACATTACAATTCAGATGCATCAATTCTTCTCTGGTCTTTCTTATTCATTGTCCAACTTTCACATGCATATGAGGTTGTTAAAAATACCATGACTTGGATCAGGAGCACTTGGCCTTCAGAGTGACATCTTCTGCTCTTTAATTAACACTTTAAAGAGGTCTTTTGCAGTAGATTTGCCTAATGTAATAAATTGTTTGATTTCTTGATTGATACTTCTATGAGCATTTTTTATGGATCCAAATCAGATGAAATCCTTGACAACTTAAATCTTTCTCTGTTTATCATAAAGTTATTTATTGGTTCAGTTGTGAGAATTTTGGGTTTTTTGTTTTTTGTTTTTTACATTGAGGTGCAACTTAAGGTTGTATTCTTTGATCTTCTTTAGTAAGTACTTCAAGTCCTCTTCACTTCAAGCAAACAAAGTTGTATCATCTGCATATTGCAGGTTATTAATGAGCCTCTCTCCAATTTTGATAGCATGTTCTTCTTCATATATGCCAGCTTCTCGGATTATTTGTTCAGAGATTTACTCATTACAAATATATTTTTTCAATAGCATAAATGGTTATATCCATATGTATCTCACTAGATGGAATACACAAAAATCCAATTGACTACATCTGTGGAAAAGATGATGGAGAAGCTCAGTATCCTCAGTATCATCAGACAAAACAAAACCAGGGGCTGACTGTGGAACACACCATCCATTACTCTTATTCAAGTTCAGGTTGAAGTTGTAGAAAATTAAAACAAATCCATAAGAACCCAAATATGACCTTTAATATATCCCATCTGAATTTAGAGACCATCTCAAGAATAGATTTGGCATGCTGGACAGTAATTACCAAAGACAAAACAAGTTGTGGAATGACATCAAGAACATAAGACAATGTAAAAGGTCATTAAAAAGGAAAGAAAAAAAGACCAAAATGAATGTCACAAAAGACTCTGAAACATGCTTTTGAATGTAAAGAAGCCAAGTGACTAGAAGAAATTATGAAGTAAAAAAGCTGAACATAAAAATTTAAAGGGCAGCACAAGAAGGCAAAGTAAAGTATTATAATGAAATATGCAAAGTATTGGTGGTGTGGTGTCCTGGAGTCAATTCAGACTCATAGTGACACTGTATAGGGTTTCCAAGCCTGTAAATCTGTACAGAAGCAGGAAGCCTTGTTTTTCTCCCACAGAATGGCTGGTAGATTCAAATTGTTGACCTTGCAGTTAGCAGCCCAGCTCGTAATACACTACACTACAAAAGCTCCTTACTAGGCGTGGTAAATAGCAAGAATTACTAGTTCTTCTTAATGATTCCCAGATGGCAGTGAGCTAATTCCTGTTCCTAACAACCAAATAAATGTTCTAGTAGAAACATAACTTGATTATACAACCCTTCCTGTCTTGTGATCTCTATATCACACTTTCTACATTTGCACTAATTCACTTCCCTGGGGTTTCCAGGACATCTCATGTCAGTGTCCTTTGGGTCTGAAGATGAGCCTGTAAAGAGGATATCCTTATGTACATGTGGGACAGAAAGATGGATATGATACAGACATCTTCTCCCCTCAAGCACACACACACAAAGCAGCTTTTTACTTACAGCTATTGTGTGCAAGATCGATTCACATCTGTAGCTTTGCTTCTTCCCTTACAAGCTGGTTGGGATTATGGCATATGAAGCTTTACTTTTGTTTCCGGTAATATAAAGTTGATAAAGCCTTGTAGTATGAACCTTGGTATTAAATGCTGCTGCTAAACTCCCTAGAAGCCAGAGATGACCATGATGATAATGATAGCATTAACTGTGGCAAAGATAGTGTGTGTGTAGTTAAGTGCCGTTGAGTCGATTCAACCCATAGTGACCCTGTATAGGGTTTCCAAGGAGCAGCAGCTGGTGAGCTTGAACCGCCAACCTTGCCATTCAAACAGCTTTGCAATCTAGCTAATTAACCCACAGCACCACACCAGGACTCCTGGCAAAGATAGTAAGTTGTAGGACTATACTATTGTTGTGTTAATGATTGATATATTTATACATAAATATGAAATTTATAAATACAGCAGAATATAATCAATTATGTTATTTTAACTATACTAATGCTAATTGAAATGACCTCATATTTTGGTCTTTATGAGAGTGAGGCTAAAGTATTTCTACTTGGCTTCCAGTTGATACATGCATAGATTTATTCCAAACAAAATGTGTTTAAACTTGTCTCTGTGATCAGTGGATGGCTGCAGAAAAGTTCTCTCAGTAACACGCTGCCTTAGGCTCATTAGGATCCCTTCAAAAACAAAGAGATACCTTTTGTGTCATGACAGTTTGGAGGTTAGGACTAAATAAGTTTTTAACAAACTCAAGTGGAAATTTTCCCAAATAATAAAACCTTAGCAACACATTTACAAGAATGTTGCTCCACATTTTTAAAAAACATTTTTTTTTAAGAACAGTTTTTAGATGGATCAAGCATTTTAAGTAAGGTCAAGAAGACTTCAAAAATAAATCAAAAGAAGGAAGACCACCAACCTTGGTGAATG